TTTCCAGTAAATCCCACTAAGCAGTTACAAGAGTAGCTGTTGACACCATCCTCACAGGATCCACCATTACCACATGTGTGATTAACACAGTCGTAAATGTCTGAAAACGGAATAACATAGATAAAAAGTAGATATAAGTCTGATAATTGTAATAACTACAGATACAGATTGCCTCCTAGAGTTGTTTGAGTGTACCTGTTTCACAGTTATTTCCAGTAAATCCCACTAAGCAGTTACAAGAGTAGCTGTTGATACTATCTTCACACGATCCCCCATTATTACATGTATGGTTAACACAGTCGTCAATATCTGCAAACAGAAGGCTCTGATCAAAGGAGGATAATACATCCGAGCAGCAGCTTAAGTACACGTGAAGAGTTGATAAAAAGGAACAAGTAGAACTCTATTTTTAAGCTCCTTTCTGAACTTAGCTTTATTAAACTTCCCCTCAACTAAACCAAACCTCTGACGCTTTATTGGCGTGTGTTGGTGTGTTACATAGGTGTCGTCAAACAGCTACAGCAGCAGCGACAAAAACAAGAAAAATAAAACAACTAAGAAAAGTAAAAGGATTTACCTAGTTCACAATAATCTCCAGTAAATCCCACTAAGCAGTTACAAGAGTAATTGTTGACACCATCTACACACGATCCACCATTACTGCATGTGTGATTAATACAGTCGTCAATGTCTGAAAACGTAATAACATAGATAAAAAGTAGATATAAGTCTAATAAGTGTAATAACTACAGATACAGATTGTCGCCTAGAGTTGTTTCAGTGTACCTGTTTCACAGTGATTTCCAGTAAATCCCACTAAGCAGTTACAAGAGTAGCTGTTGACACCATCCTCACACGATCCACCATTACTGCATGTGTGATTAATACAGTCATCAATGTCTGAAAACGGAATAACATAGATAAAAAGTAGATATAAGTCTAATAAGTGTAATAACTACAGATACAGATTGCCGCCTAGAGTTGTTTGAGTGTAACTGCTTCACAGTTATTTCCAGTAAATCCTNAAAGTAGATATAAGTCTAATAAGTGTAATAACTACAGATACAGATTGCCGCCTAGAGTTGTTTGAGTGTAACTGCTTCACAGTTATTTCCAGTAAATCCTGCTAAGCATTTACAAGAGTAGCTGTTGACACTATCTTCACACGATCCTCCATTACTACATGTATGGTTAACACAGTCGTCAATATCTGCAAACAGAAGGCTCTGTTCAAAGGAGGATAATACATGCGAGCAGTAGCTTAAGAACACGTGAAAAGTTGATAAAAAGGAGCAAGAAGAACTTTATTTTTAAGCACCTTTCTGAACTTAGCTTTATTAAACTTCCCTTCAACTAAACCAAACCTCTGACGCTTTATTGGCGTGTGTTGGTGTGTTACATAGGTGTCATCAAACAACTACAGCAGCAGCGACCAAAACAAGAAAAATTAAACAAGTAAGAAAAGGGAAAAGGATTTACCTAGTTCACAGTAATCTCCAGTAAATCCCACCAAGCAGTTACAAGAGTAGTTGTTGACACCATCTATGCATGATCCGCCATTATTGCATGTATGATTAACACAGTCGTCAATGTCTAGAAACAGAATGTTAAGATTTAGTTTGAGATGAAATTACGATCGTCTCTTTTTTTCTTAAAAGGCAATGACGAAAGCCACCACCTCAACATCAGAAATAACTAAACTCACCTCTCCTACAGAGAAAGAGGGCAAGTATGAAGAAGCTATGTATTTAGTCCTTAACTACATCGCTGAAAACAAATTAGAGAGAAAACCCTGAAACTAACGAGATTGACCTCGGAAACTTCTTTCAAGAAACACGTCAACACCGATTTGAACACACTCACTTTGCGCCAGAAATACTATCAACAATTTGCAGAATTGTTATGTGAAT